TTGTCAACTTGTTTAGTTCACGGTAGTCGATGCACGTCTTCATAGTACCATCTTTCTTCTTTACAAAGAGTATCAGAGCTCCCTATGGAGATACTAATGAACCCTTTGTCTAGAAGTTCTTCAAGCTGCATCTTCAACTCTTGTAACTCCTTTGGTACCATTCAGTATGGAGCTTTGGACACAGGGGTAGCTCGAGGTATCAGATCTATCGAGAACTCTACTTGTCTATCGAGCGAAGTACCCAGTAGATCTTCGAAAAACACGTCAACATACTCTCGTACTATTAGCACATCACTTAATACTTTCTCTTGAGTGGATGTGCTAGTAAGACTAACAAGATATCCTTGACAGTCAGCCTTTCTCAATATGCTCTCTGCTTTTAAAGTTGAGATAATACGAGAAAGTGCCTTAATCCTCGATCCATAAAATCTGAACTCCTCTTCTCCCGGTCTTCGAAAAACTACCTCTTTCTCAAAACATATTATCGTGGCTCGATTCTCACCCAACCAGTCCATACCTAAAATAATATCAAAATCTTTCATCTATATAACATACAAGTCAGCCTCTAAAGTCAGTCCATCAAAATCTATCTGTACCCCTTTTGCTATCCTATCCGTATCAATAGTTCCACTTGATGGCATACTCACTTCTAGTACACTAGCATTCTTCTGACATGAAGCATTAATCTTAGCTAGACATGCATTAGATATGAACGAATGTGTTGCACCAGAATCAATCAGGACGTAAACAGGAACATTAGAAACGGATAAAATACCGACAATCATGTCCAAATTTTTGGCAGCCTCATCGTGAATCAAAGCAAACACCCTTGCTTTTCCCTTTTTTTCTTGTTCGGGTTTCTTAATTGATGGGCACGAAGAAGCCACATGGTCAGGTGGACCACACTTATAGCAGACATACTTTCCATATAGACATTCTCCTTTGTGAAACTTGTTGCACTTAGGACATTGGGATACATGATTGCTTGACTGACCCTCATGCATCTGTTTCTTAAACTGTCACATATTCTTATTCTTGTCCTGCCACTTCCTTTTCCTGAAGTCTTTACGCTGTCCTTGATTTACCAACTTCAGCCCCAAGTAGGTCACTATTTGTGCTTTCTTTAACACTTCTTGAAAAGTGGTGAGATCATGTGAACTCACAATCTACCTGATCTCTGGGCATAGGCCCATCTCGTGACGTTTTGCCTTCATGAGCTCTGTACTTACAAGGTGTGGGGCATATTGGAACAATTCCTCGAATTTGCTCTCATACTCAAAAGTTTCATATCTCCTTGTACCAGTCTTAAGAATTTTGTCTCCTTGTGGTCTCGCATAGCTTGTGGGAAAAACTTTTCTATTGGCTCCATCTTGAACTGATCCCACATTAAGTTACATTGTTCCTCCTCGGTGTGAGTGCGTGATGCGGATTCCCACCAATGGCCTGCTCTACCGATTAGCATAAACTCTACACATAATACCTTTTTTATTTTTCGGGCAAGAGATGTGCCGAAAAATCTTCTTGATAGTATGAAACCACTCATCAACTGCTAGAGGGTCTTTTTCACCATCAAAGGTAGGTGGTCGGTATCTATGAAATTATTCTACTATCGGAACAGGTGGTACAGTCGGGTATGTTGGTGGCACCAGCGGAGCTTGTGGAACTAGTGAAGCTTGAGGTGCTGGAGGTGTAACCTGAGCAGTCAAGGCCTATCTCAACTCATCAATCTCCCACCTTAACTCCCTAGTTGTCCTCGCTTGTGCCATATTCCTATATGCCAGAATAATTGTAATCTCATTTAAAGAAGCCAACAATATTTGTGTAACATGGGAAAAAGATTCATAACTCAACATCCTTTATTATTGTCTCATACAAATCCTTCAGGAGACAAAAAATAGAAAAAGAGCATCTGGCGCTATTCCACAGCATCATAAAAGAAATCCTACTAAACACCAACAACAATTAAACCTGATAAAACTACTAAAATTCACTTATTCATCATTGCTATCGTAGTCATTAATCCAGCCTCCATAAATCCTAGGTTTCTTAGAAAACTAAACCTCATCATCCGAAATAGGTGGAGGTGCATCTTCACGAATGTACATATCGATAGGTACACTATTGTCATCGGGGATCTCAAGTTGGGACAGCTGCCACGGCTCAATTAGCTCTGCGCAGAAGGCCTCATA